CATATGGAATGTTACTTATTAGTGCACGGATTGCACAGGTTGTGACTGTAGATTGTATTAATGTGTCATGTCACTAGAGTGATTATGTTAGATGAGATGAGGTCATCGTACCTAGGATGGGTGTTGTCGGATCAGATTGCGATATATTTGGAAGGATAATGTTGCTGATCGGCTTAGAAGATTTCTATAGTTCCTATCGAAGGGGAGGAAGTTCCACAACTTGTTGACCTGGTGAATGGTTATGAGTTTCTGCGTGTTTCTTTCATCATTGGCAGTATGCGAGGGTTTTAGAACGAGATCTTGTTTGATATGAGGTTTATTACTGGTATTTGGTTATTTTGAGCAGCTGCTGTGATTAGAAATTTTCACTATGAGTATCTGAGTTATGCGGCATATCATGTGATTCCATCTTGGGTTATGACCATGGCTTGTCACAGCTTGTTCAGACTTATACAGTGTGAAGATGCAAGATTCTGGTCTTATAGAAAATTTCGGATGAGAAAATTGGATTCTAAGGTTTATGAGCTAGGTTGGATTAAGAAATTTCAGTCATGTTGTGTTATCGGACCTATATGGGATAGGGTGATGTGGGATCACCCCCGGGTATGTGCGTAGCAAGATTATTCAGTGAGTTGATGGCTTTTGGAACAACTCTGGGCACGTTCGAGGACAAACGTATCAAGTGGGGGAGGATGTAACGACCCGACCAGTCATTTTGAGCAATTGCACTTCGCTCAGTTGTTTGAGGGCATGAGTAACTCCGTATGATATATTATGACTTATGTGAATCGTCGGTTTTGGTTTTCAGATTATCCTGAATTGATTTGGAAGGATGATTCTCAACTTGAAGCTTTAAATTTGAAAGGTTTGACCAAGTTTTGACTTTTTAGTATTTGGCCTCGGATTGGATTTTTGATGGTTCCGTCAGCTCCGTTGAGTGATTTTGGACTTAGGAGCGCGTCCGGATTGTGATTTGGAGGTCCGTATTGGAATTTGGCTTGAAATGGCGAAGGTTGGAATTTTGGAATGTTTGACCGGGAGTGGACTTTTTGATATCAGGGTCGGATTTCGATTCCGAAAGTTGCAGGTCCGTAATGTCTAATGTGACTTGCGTGCAAAATTTGAGGTCAATCGGATGTGATTTGGTATGTTTCGGCATCGGTTATAGAAGTTGAAGTTTTAAAGTTCAATGAGTCCGAATTGAGGTGTGATTCACCGTTTTGATGTTGTTTTGAGTGATCCGAAGGTTCGACTAAGTTCGTATGGAGTTTTATGACTTGTTGGCATGTTTGGTTCAGATCCCGGAGGCCTCGGGTGTGTTTCGAGTGGTTAATGGATCAAGTTTGAAGTTTGGAGAATTTACTAAAGTTGGCTTGTTGCTGGTGTAATCGCACCTGCGAGGGTATTGCTACAGGTGCGACGCCACAGGTGCGGTGGGTTGGACGCAGGGGCGGATGTGTGTTGGATTGGGGAAGACCGCAGGTGCGAGGTCTTTCTCGCACCTGCGAGGACGCTGAAGCGGATAGGGAGCGCAGGTGCGGAGATGCAGATTTAAGTGGTTTCCACAGAAGCGGATGTTTTGTCGCAGAAGCGGCTAATATGACTGCAGATGCGGAAGTGTGGGACAGAATGTTAAATACAAGGGTTCGCGATTTTGGCTTCATTTTTAGATTTCCAAGTGCGGATTGGGGCGATTTCGGAGCAATTTTCATCAGAAGGATTGGGCTAAGTGTTCTACACCCGGTCTTGGTTATATTTCATGAATCTATCTTCGATTTTAGCTTTTGGTTGGTGAATTGAAAGAGAAAATTGGGGGTTTTGGCCTAAAGTTTCATAACATGAATTTTTGAGTTTTGAACTCCGATTTGGAGCCGGATTTGAGTGAAACTAGTATGGTTGCACTCGTAATTGAATGGGTTGTCGGATATTGTGTGTTTTGTCGAGTTTCGAGGTGTGGGCCCGGGTGTGATTTTTGGCCGGATTTGGGATTTGACCTCGAATTCGATCTGTATCATTTGTAATTGCTTCCTTGGATTTTATCTGATGTATTTGAGTTGCTTTTGGCTAGTGTTGAGTCGTTCGGAGGTCGCTATGCGCGTGATGGCATTCTTGGAGAATCGCTTGGCTTGCTCGGTGTCGGAATCGACTTATTTAAGATAAGTAACTCTTCTAAACTTAGTGGCCCATTTTGTTGATATTTGTGTTTTTCACCATGTGATAAAATTAATTGAGCTATACATCATGTTTAGGCTTTATGCTGATATTGTTGGGACCCATAGTGGTCGTTTCTTGCTGTTATCTCATCGATTTCGTTGATATATCGTACTCAGTTGCATTCATGCATTCTATCATATCTCAGTCTCAGTTGTTGCTTATTGATACATCATATCCTTGTTCCGGGTCAGTTTTCATGACATTATGAGCCCGTGGGTGAGACAGGAGAGTGATGAATCAGTGAGGCCAAAGCCTGAGTATGAGTGATAGTTATGGGATCGGGCTGCACGCCGCGCGGTTATATTGATGATTATGATAGCGCTTGGGTTGTAGGAGCATCTCCGGAGTCTGTAACACACCCTCAGTGAGCGCGGATGATATTATTGAGGGATGGATTTCCCTGGACATGGATTTGTCCGAGGTATTGATATATGGAGATGGATTTCTGTACAGGGATGGATTTCCCTTTTTCCTCGGTACCGAGTGACGTCTAGTCATTGTTGAGTATGTCCCGGGATCGATTTCCTTGGCCGCATGGGCCATATACGTTACCGAGTGGTTGAGCATTTATATTATTGAGGGATGGATTTCCCTGGACATGGATTTATCCGAAGTACTTGATACCTGGAGATAGATTCCTCCACACGGTTGGGTTACCCTTTATCCTCGGTACTGGACGACTTATAGTCAGTGTTGTATATGTTTCGGGATGGATTTTCCTGAGTCGTAGGGGCCATATACAATACCGAGTGGTTGAGTGGGATGCAGTAAAGTTGAGTACTCTGAGAGTGTGAGTACATGATTCATCTCTGAGGTACATGGCATTGGCATGCATATATGGCATACATGCATAGAGACGCATTTTTCCTCATGTTGTACGGTATCACCTCATTCATGACTTTTTACATACATTGATATGTAGTTATAAAGAGGTATTTCACACTTGTTATTTGAGAAAGAAAATGAAACATGTCTACCTATTGTGGAAAGGAATTTTCAGGAAAAAGTTACAGTTTTCAAAACTCACTCATATTTTTAACGATTTCGGTAGAGGATTTGGGCTTTCATTAGTATACTTGAAAAGTGGAACTGTTTTCGAAAAACTATGAAAAGGCCGAGCACTTTATTTATAAGTTATTTCTGTACTTATTTGATGTACACTGTATGAACTTTTGTTGGTTATTTGTGTTGGACCCGACCTATGTACCAGCTCGTCACTGCTTTCAACCTAAGGTTAGATTTGTTACTTTTTTGAGTACATGGGGTCGGTTGTACTCATATTGCACTTCCTGCACATTGCGTGCAGATCCCGGATGCTGATGTTGTCACGATCAATGGTTGATGGATTTGAAGGCGTACCTGCGTTCCTCCTGTATGCTGCCTCTTTTTCACGGTAGCCTAGATTATAAAATTCTGTTTATGTACTTTTCAAAAAGAAAATGTATTTTCTTCATAACAGCTTTGTAAACTCTATTCTCAGAAGCTCATGATTTGTACTACCAGTCCTTGGAAAATGTATAAGATTTTGATAATTCTGTTGTTTAATTGTTTTATTAAATTAAATGGAATTGGATAATTTTTAATTGGCTTACCTAGCGAGCTGGGTTAGGTGCCATCACGACCGGTGGATTTTGGATCGTGACAATAATACACTATCAGATGACCGAGAAAACGAAGTAGCATTGTTACAGAATAATAATGGTGGGCTCTTTTATAAAATACAAAAGTTTGGGGCATTTTTAAAAAATGTAATAGTGATATTTTGGGTCAAAACCAGCTCTTGAGCTAGTTTTGGGAATTTGCCAAAATGTAAAAAAAATCTATGGCCAAACATATATTTTTGCCAAAAAGAACCCAAATATATTTTGGCAAAATCTATGGTCAAACAGGTCCTTAATCACTTCACACATATGGATATATATCTCCTAGCACTAGCACATCAAGTTATTCCATGTTTTTAAGAAGGGTCCTCCAAATTTGTCAATTTCACAAATCCTCTTAGTTGTAGTCACTTGAAAACCCCACTTATATATACCTTTGCACGTACAAGCACTAGCACAAATGGTTTACATATTTGTGCGATATTGCCTACCGGGGAAAACTAAGCAAATGCAAGTGATCATCATTCCATCTTGCACACCTCTCATGTCTTTTATCAAATTATAATGGTTCATTATAGAACATGATAGTGCCTTTCAAGTTCCATGTTCACATATATTATGGTGATATATGACTAGCTATAGAGTTTAAGATATTAATTTAATATATAATTTATTTAATGATAGCACAAAAATATTTAAAAAATTATTTTGATAATAAATAAATAGTTTAGTAAATTCTTAAAAAATTATTAAAAAGTAAAAAATAAGTCAGCTTTGAACATTTTTCACATATGGAGCAATACTAGTGAAAGAAAACACGAGAAAATGATTGAAGAAAGTTAGTTCGTGTAGGGATATCATATACGAGTTTTCTTGTAAATTGTTAAGTTGTGCAAAATAAAAATTTATAATAAAGCATTTTGGAAAAGAAAAAAAAACGGTAATTTTATTTAACGGCGATAATAAATTTTTTGGTAATTTCTAAATCTACAAAAGCAAAAAATCAACATCAGATCTCTCGTCTATAGTTATATGTGACATCCTTTGCACTAACGAATGTCGCTATTTCTACTTAGATGGGAAGGTGTAATAGGAGCATATTCTGCGAAATATATTTTCAAACCTTTTTAAATTATATTCTCGTTTCTTGAATCGTTTACTTTGCTCCTAAACTTTAGAATAAGGAAAGACAAATAGGATGGGATAGACTATAGAGAGAAGCCAAAAGATAACAAATTCCAGCATATGACAACAGAAACATCTTCTCTTTGGCCGAAAGAGGATCTAAAAAGCCACATTCATTTACATAAAATGTGGGATATTCCCCTCCTTTACAGCAACCAACCAACAACAAAAAGTGTTCTCTACCCATATCTTCAACTTATCTAGTTAAAAGTTCAACTGGCTTCAACAAAAAAACAGAACCTACCAAAAAGGAAATATCAACTTTTTCACCTGCTTTTTCTTTGAGCTTCTAAAATTAGATTTTTCACTAGTCCTAGTGTGAAAGGACATGACATATATAAAGTTAGACTTCTCTAGGATCAACAAAAATAGAAAGACCAGGTTGTGATTTTGTCCAGTCACCTAATGACCCGTCACTATAGTCTTCCCCTAGTCTTTTCATGCACCATAAATCCTCTGCGCATGATAGCTTTTTCCAGTGTGGAATTGCTAACCTCAACGGTTCACGACTTGCCACCTCCGTCGCCACCACGCTACACCGCGACTCTTTAGCTAGATTGTGTGCAAAATCACACAGAGATTTTGTCAGCTTTTCAGCTAATGGGCCTTCTCCACCAAGCCCATACAGAAAATGAAGGCCAAATGGCCTAAAAACCTCCGGCACCGACGGTACTTTGAGCCAAGGAAAAGCCCGGTCCACTAAACGAGTCGTCTTAGCAAGAATCTTTGTCATTCGTGACGCGCCACGAACCTCAAGATTGAACACGTCCTTACAGTTCCACACACTGAGCACAGCCCATGACTCGGGCTGACTCGCCAAGAACTCGTCCACACCGGGCCAACTTTGGGCCGAGTAAAGCCCCTTTGGAACCGCTAAAAAAGTACCCAGATTGAGCTTATTGCAAAGAATAGAATCAATGTCGCGTGGGAAGAACTCGGTAGTGGAGAAGCGGCGGCGGTATAGTGTTTCAGCGTCAGTTGGGCTGAGCTTGATGATAGTGACCCGACTTGATACCCGGGCCCGATGAGCGAAAACGGGCTGGACCAAAATGGACGGGGTACGGAACTTGGAGTAACCGCATTTGTGGGTGAAGAGCTTAATGGAAGCTTGGTTGTCGTTTTCTGTAGCTATGTACGAATATTCAGCACCATTAACTCTGAACCACTCCTCCATTTCGCACACCAGTTTTAACCCAATTCCCATTCTCCTGCAAAAAAATATCAAACATGTCATTATATTGTCGCAACACCCGCTATATTTAACAAAAATAAAGGGCCTATCTAAGAAGTAGAATATTGTTAAAAGTCGTTTGAGTTGAGTATAATACTTAATAAGAAGACAAAAGTGATAATAATAAGAGGGGATGTGTCCACACAAAACCATTTTTAGCAAAAACTAAACTATCATTGGTCGGGTGTGTACTTAAATGAAGATCTAACATAAAAAACTAAATAAGCTTTTTATACTACAATCTTTATTCATTTGGATTGTCGGCATCGTCAATAAATAAAAAGAAACCGAATATGTGTAGTAGAATTAGAAGTAGTTACCGGTGAGAAGGAGAAACGCGGAGGCCTAAAATATAGGCGAGTTTGGTGAAAATAGGAAGGGGTTTAATGGAATCAGAGCTGTTTTTAGCATTCCTTGAGAGCTTTTTCCCACACGTAACGGTTTTGATACAACCTCTTATCATCCCTACTATTGCTCTCTTCTCTTCCTTTTCTCCATTATGCACCACTATCTCTGCAACCTGTGATCATTATAATGAATACGCTGTTAATATAATAAACAACGAAAACAAAAATAATACAAGAATGAATATATATATATATATATATATATATATATATATTTACCAGCATGAGATAAGCAGCAGAATGGCGAACTCTGCAAATTGGGTCACCTAAAAGATGAGTGAAAAGAGAGAGTTTCCCACTTGGTCCAACTTCGCATCTTCTTTCCACTTGTTCCACTTCCCTGCAATCTTTTTTTGCATCAAATTCTCTCACCACTATCGACACTACACCATTCTCCTCCATCTTCTTTTATCTTTTTTTTCTTTCCTTTTGCTACGCTATAAAAACAAGACAAAAGAGCTAGAGAGGTTTATATAGATGTAATAATAATCTGCTACGTATTATAACGTGTAGAAAGGTAAAAAAGCAGAGGAAAGGCTTTTATATATCGAAATTGAAGAAAAACACAAAGGAGGATTCAACGAAAGAAGAAAGATATATGAACGACAAAGAAGAGACTCTAAGGGAAATAAAAGGTTCGAAAGAAAAGGGGCCGTTGAAAAGCTTTTTTTTTTTCGCCTTTCTTCTTTGGGTGTTGTTGCTATTAGTGAAGTGAGTAGTTGTTCATGATTAAGCAGAACTGAGAAGGGAGAAATAACTAGTTATTGCTTCTTCTCTTCTTTTGCTAAATTAGATGTGGCCTCCCTTTTTATACTGATTTTTGGGGCTGTCTTTTCTTTTCTCTAGTCCCCACCCCCTTCTCTCCTCCCCTTTTTTAAATATGAAATATGAGTAGGAAATACTCTGCAGTTTAATAAACCCATTTTTTATTTATGTTTTTTGTCTTTTGCTTACTTAATGGAACAAACCTTTATCAAAGAATCAAATAAATTTAAATTATGTAGATTAGAAAAATTAAATTTTTATAATTAAAAATATACGGTATTAACGGACTACTAATGAAAGAGTGACTAATATTCCTAATAGTAACTGTTTTTCGAATTTATAAATTAATCATGATCAGAAGAAATGGCGGCTGTGGCTGCGCAGTACCATTCCCAATTGTAGGTTGTTCTTTCTCTTTCAACTTAAATACCCTAACATCATCACTTAAATTTGTAATCATTACTACTCTTAAATACACATACAACACTTCCTTTCCATATTTCACCCATTATAACATCTCACCATACTATAACGCCTTACAGCATCAAAGCCATCTCATGCCTTTTCACATGCACCTTATCCTATTTATGCACATATTCAAATTTCAATATCTTTTTCTTGTATTATATATATTAGATAAGAGTTACGACCACCAGATTAGTTTCATTAACTTCATTTTCCAATGACTCATCAATACAAATTAATAAATTTAGGGATGAATTAGATGTAGATGTATGAAAAATTGTTGTAATTTCCTTTCTTTGACGAAGATATGCACGAACAAAGAGAATTCGAAAAAGAAATTTCTCGTATTTTATTGTAAATACGACTTGAATATACAAATAATAAACATCTCCTATATAAGCTTTCACGATTAGGCAATTATCATATAAAAGGAGTCTTAACAGCTCTACCTTGTATTCATGAACCTTTCATCTCACTCCTTCATACATTATAATTGATTAACTTTTCTTTATAGTTAGGATTTGTGATGTTAATTAACGTTTTATTTCTACTACAAGTACAAAATTACGCTATAAGTGGTGGTAAGTGGCACAGAAACCAATCAAAAGTGTTGATGCATGAATGCCACTTCGTCCGATGCGTGATAATGCATGATAGGAGCATGAATAAATGACTAATACATTTATAACGGAACTTGAATACCAAAGACGTGGGTGGGGGTGGGGGTAGAATCGCAACCGATTAATTGAAGAAGACAAGGAGACCGAGATATAAAGCCGCATTCTTGTTCAGAGCTAGCGGCTAGGGCAGCTATAAAACACTAGTCTGTATACTATTAGCCCCAGCTCAAATCATTCCATATTATTTATAGCACTCCTGACACACATTTGTAGTGGTGTAATTGTTTTAACCGATACAAACATCATGCAAAAATTTATCTCTACATATAGCCTGATATGACAACCAATTCAATCCTAACAAAGCCATAACTGAAACCGATTCTCGAATTTGAAAGACAACTTCTTTTAGTTATTCTTTGTATTCTATCAATTTTCCTTTTTGTACTCTTTACATATAGTGTTGAGTAAATACCAATTTCTAGTATTTTTAAATATTGGAAAAAAATTGTATTACAGGGACATATAAAATGAGTTAAATGAGGTATTTGAATACTCTTTTTCCATTTTGGTTTCAAATAAGGGATCTTACAGAAATAGCCACTCATTTTATTATTTACTTTTTCTAACTATATATATAGATTATACATCGATTATACACAATTATATATAAATAATATGTAAATTATGCATATATTATACCTTCACCTGGTATTTTTAGTTTAAGCAGTTAGATGGGCGGCTATCGGGTTAATTCTTCATCTTATGCCGGCCGCTAGTAGCTACGACTTGTTCGTTCTCAATTATCCACTTTCACATATTATGGAATTCATCTTTTAGTATTAATTAACATAAAATTGACCATATTAACAGTTATTTCTTCATTAAAAATCTAACAAATACTCCTAGGCTCTTTATTCCACGGACAACTTTGGAAAAAAGGTGTTAATTCTTTCTTGATATCAGAAAAAATCAAATATTGTGGACCATAAAAAAAAATTAAAAAATCAATTAAAGTGTATCGGAGAAAGTATTATTTATGAAATGCGCAAAAGTATTTGGGTGGCATTTAATAGTGGATAACTTTTGAAATCTTGCAAAAGAGTTTCCAAAACGTGCTTATGTTTTCAAGAAGTTTATTTCAAAAAAAAAGATTTCCGAAGAAGTGATTTTACAGCTTTTTGCAAAGTAAAATTTACTTTTCTCACGAAACACCCGTAATCAAATCTTAAATAAAAGGATAGCTATCTAACAGGTTTTCTTTTTATAGTAGCCACTTATTTTTTTTTCTTTTCAAAAATGCTTTTCTCAAAAACAGTCCAAACAACTTAAGTTATTTTAAAATCAAAGCGTAAGATAGAAAATTCAATTCCAGTTACTTTACTAATCTCAACAAACCCGAGATGAAGTAATTCTGTTTTGTGGTTAAATTTTGTTAATGAATATAATGCTAGCTTCCAGTTTTGTTTCTCTACTTTATGATATCATATAACCATACTGTATATCAGAATTCATTTACATCAATTTTAAGTGCGCAATGCATAAAAAGTGAAACTGTTTAGTTTATTTATCCAAACTAATAACAGAAGAATCTAACAAACTCAAAATGGGGAATGAAATGTCCTTAGAATAGCAGAATACTCCTCAGTAAAAAAAAAAATCCAACCTTTGATATAAAATAACCCTCACGTAAAAGCATTTGAAAGAATCGTGAAAAGCATTGGAAAGCGATGAAAAAAGAAAGAACTACAACGGAAAGAGAAGATAACATATTAAGAAACAGTGGATATTATTGGAAGCAATTAATATTATACTTTCATGTGAATTATTAAGAAAGAGAGTCTCATAAAATAAAGTAAAAATAAAAAGGTATGGGGCTATTATTAAACGATGTTGATCATGTCACCACGAAAAGAACTTATTTGTCGAAGTTTGTAAATGGTGTACTTTATTAGCATTAGGTATGATATTTTCCACTTATGGCCTAATTTAAAAGGATAATTGATAATGACGAAAGAATAATTGATGGTATTTAAAGGCACATTTGGCTTCAAGGAACGTGAAAGGAAACGATGGAGAAACAATGGCGCTTCTTTTACAATTTAGAATTCTAGTTGTCGTTTTGGCGGATTCGTATCAGTTTCTCTGGTGATTTGGCCAACTTATAAAATAAGATTTTTTACAAAAAACAATAATGCTACCAATTAATTAGTAAAATTTCTAATGACGAACTTAGGCATCTAATGATTAAGACTTGAGAAATGGGACTGAGAAATTTTATTTTGTGTCTCAAGTTCCACGTCATACTTATGTGAGGTCCTTGGTTACTTGACAAGTGAATTCATGGATCCCATTTATTTACTTTGAAAATAATAAAACTAAAAAAGACAATTTACAAGTTATTTAATATGCCTAACTAAGGACAGAAATAAGTATTACTAACATACTAATGAAAATGGTAAAAAAACATATCCATTTGAAAAGCTAAGCCTTTTGATCCTTCTTATTGGCACATATATTACAGAAGCCAAAACATACACTTGAATTGGAAAAATATGTTGACTTATAAATCTTTTTTTTTTTTTTTTGGTATGAAGACAGAACTTTGTTTAACAATTTTTTCTAAAAATATTTTTAGGCTGTTTTTCGATTTATGCGTGTTATTCTTCCGCAAGGACTTTGCTAATATTTTTTATATTGTCCCAATTTTATCGGATGTCTCCGAAGGAACAAACTTTGTTTAACAATAATCTCCAAATCAGTTGACAAGAGCCTGAAAAAATAATCATCTTGGTGTGCTTAATAATAATTAAATATGTCACAAAGTAAGAAAAGTTATTATTGCTTGTTTAGAAAAGTAACTCCCATTAGTATAACAGAGATGGACAATTGTAGAATTGTAAGATAAGAAAAAATAAAATAAAACGATCAATGCTTATTAACTCATCAAATTGTTATTTGCTATTATTCTTCAAGCTTCTCTCAAACAATATAATTTCAATCCATCCGTGGAGCCAATAACACCATCATTCAAATAATTACAATCACCATCAGTCCCAACTCAATTACTAATTAGGACACAAAATTAATTCTCCGAACCATTGAAATAAATATTTCTTCCAGTGATGCATGAACTTTGATTCTCAATGCAACATCCAAACTGGTTAGCAGAAGCCTGAGTCAATAGTTCTGTAAAGGTAGTATTGGAACCTTCGTATAACTGCATAAATGAATTTAAAGAAAAAAAATCAATACCAATAAATAAATTAAAATATAAAGACCACCAACAAACTAAGACACTTAGAATTTGATTGTTTAGATATCCACTTCCTTTTTCTTTCTTCTTAATTGGATCGAAAACTCGATCATTAGTTCCTGAAGGACTAGTAGATGTACTAAATTTGGGATAGCTCTTATGAGTACCTTCTGCATATAACTCATTTTGGAGTTTAGTAATCTCAACCCTTGCTTGATACAAATACTTTCTAGCAATTTCTTCAGACTCAGCATTATTTGCAGCTAATGTCATAACAGCAAATGATTCTTTCATCAAACCAGTTTAGCGAATGGCCATAGATGAAGTTGGTGATTTCTTCCTATTGTTGTACTCATCAAATCCATTCCCTTATTTAGCATTCTTAGTCCATCTTTTCAGAATATATTGTACATGAATATAAGAAAAATCTAAGTCAAAGAATAACACTTTCAGTGCATGGCAACATAACCAACCCAAGGATTCAAACATAAGACAAAAACAACTATGGAATTGTCAAATTAATTGAATTGAACGGTGTTAGTTTTTCCTCCTTCCCCTCTAAGAACTGTATATGTGCGACAAGTGCCATTATTTTCAAATTTGGTCACCTTCTTAGATGTTCCTTGCAAAAATTTATGTTGAAATCTTGTAAATATGGTTCTTGTGTAGATACTCGCAGCATGCTTTAATATCCCACA